CATCAGGTGGTCCCTTCCATCTACAAAGCTGGCAATGGCACGGTGAATCCTTCTCATGCTTCAAATCTCTCTTAGTTCCTCTTTTGCCACAAGCCAGAGAAAGCTTGTTGATTTTAAGGACTTCTGTGATTAGATTAAGCCCACTAAGATCATCTTTCTATCTTGAGGTCAACAGTGCCGTTATGTTATGCTACAGTGCCATGTAACATAACATAATCACGAGAGGGATATATTATTATATTCATAGGTTCTGGGGATTAGAGCACAGCATCTTTGCCGGGCCAATTGGAAATACTGCCTACCACAGGCAGTTTCGTTCATCCAAGTGTGGTAGCTGAGAAAGCAATACAGCCTGCCAGCAAGATGCAAGCCACAATGGTGTGTGAACAACAGAAGCTGGTGATTATTGGGGTCCATCTTACCATGGTCTGCCTGCCATGCCATCTGATGTTCCTATTTTCCCCACGAGGTAGGAGGCTGAGAGTGAGCAGGAGTTGCTATGGCCAGAAGTTTAGCAAAGAGCGGGGAAAATTTCAAATAGTCATAGCGGAGTATAAGAAAGCACACAGACTAGGAAAACAGAAATATTGCTGACAGGACCAGATGACGTCTTGAGGTTAGAGATTAGGAATTGAGCTTATTAAAAGACTCACAAAATGCTTCCAGTTTTCAAAAATCTCAGTGTAATTTGCGTGGCGTAGACAATAGATGGCATTTCTAGATTCATGAATGGTCTGAGGGACTTGGATTAATTTAGCTCTAGCTAACAAGCCATTCTTTGCATGATTATGTAATGGGCAGCCATGGCCCCATACAGATTTTCTTCCCAAAGTCCACAGATTCGCATTCACATGCATGTTTATTTTAGAGAAAATAACCAAAAAGTTAGTCAAAATGATAATATAATTAAATGTGGAATTACTATTAAGAAATGCAAGGTGTAATTGGATAAATGTTTAGTGTTAAAACAATTGAGTTAACATTGAATTGGCAACTGTATTACCTGACTTCAAAGTTTTCTGTAGGATTCTCCAGCCTTGCCCAACTTGAACAACTGTGCATAGAACAAAGCTATTGACTGAAAGTAACATTCAATAAGCAGATGAAAATTATGTAATTTTATAACTCACATATATTGATAGGCAGGAGAATATTGTTCTGACCTTAGACAAGTTACTCAACCTCCCTGAGCCTTAGTTTCTTTATTTGAAAAATAGGAACAATAATATGTCTCTCACAGATTACTTATAAGTACTAAATGAGACAACATACGTAATCAGTACAGAGTAAGCAATATGTGTGTTTATTATACATATATTAATTGCTCAATTTACTCTAAAAAGAATTATTAATCAAATGTTGTCCTTCTAACCTACATCATTGTAAAACCAAATCAATGCCTGAGTTCTATTCTCAGACCCTAAAGGAACTGAAACCAAATCTTGGATTTTTTTTCTTATTGAGAGGGAGTGTCTAAAAACAAATGCAGATTCCTTTCTAATAATAGACACTTAATCTTAATTTTCTAGTTGTTTAAAAGGCTAATTTACAATTATTTATTGTGTTCTGATGTTGGCAAAGAACCCAATTATTTCTCTAATGGAATTGACCTATAAATGTTCATACTTCAAAAGCCTTAGTAAATAAATATTAACCAGAGAATCTCACAAAAGCTATGAACGAAAAATGTACATATGAGTTCAACCAAGAAAGAAATGAATATAATCAGACTGCTCCTTGAGTTTTAAATTGGAGAACAAAGAAAGTAAATGGCTAATTTCATGACAAACGGGAATTTACTCATTGACAAAATATAATGGATGTTTTGTTGTAGGCTAAAAAAAATATGTAAAATATTAATTGAATTTTAATTATATTGGTCTTTCCAGTGCCCTTTTTTGTTCACGTAAAACTTGAATTTTGCAATTCAATTGAACTAGAATTTGAAAAGGAGTGAAGTGTATTTCAATTTAATATTTGCTGGGTTTTTTGTTTTTTTTTTTTTTTTGGTGAAGAGGATTGGCCCCTGAGCTAACATCCCTTGCCAATCTTCCTCCTTTTGCTGACGAAGATTAGCCCTGAGCTAATAGCTGTGCCCATCTTCCTCTATTTCGTATGTGGGACTCTGCCACAGCATGGCTTGATGAGCGGTGTGTAGGTCCGTGCCCAGGATCTGAACCTGCAAACCCTGGGCCCCACCGAAGTGGAGCATGTGAACCTAACCACTAAGCCACCAGGCCAGCCCCAATATCTGCTGTTTTTTAACAAATTAATCCATCACTGATAATCAAGGAATATATTATGGATACTTGTGCCATTTTTATGTCACAAGCCATATTTATTGCCTCACTCTAAGTACTTTAATGGTACATATACAAAATTAAAGGCTAGAGTGATTATTTAAAATTTTCAATCACTTTCGACAATTTGATCCTACTCTGCTTAGGAAGCAATATTTGCTGTAATTCACTTCTCACAATATAATTTATTTGGACAAATCAGAACCATTAAAGATAACATGGCACTATCAAGGCCAAGACCAAACACCAAATCACACACACATGCTCACACACACACACACCCATACGCACACACTTGGTGCATACATGTTTAGTGATTATATACTACTCATTGATTAATTCAATGAATGAAGAAAACTAACTCCACATCAGGGTGTCAGGCCTTGATTTATGTTCTGTGGATACAATATTAAGCAAGATATAGTCACTGCCCTCAAAAAGCTCACAGGTCAGTTGAGAATAAAACAGGCAATCATAATACCCTTTCATAGTGTTCCAAATAGTACAAAATATCATGGGCTCATCTAAGAAGGCCAACTTCTGTTCTCTTATCTCAACCAGCAGACCACTTCTAGGTAGGTAACACTAGCCAGGTAGAAACAAAAAATATGGATGACTTCGTACATACACGTAGACACCCCTAGAGTATCAAGTCAATCTACGTGTCCTACTGACTATGGGCTTCTAGGCTTCACTGTATTTGAATTACAACACATTTTTTCAGACATCTATTTTGCTATAGGAACATCCAGTTTCACCCACATCCTACCACTTTAATTTTTTCAAGGAGCATCACAGTTATACTTACATGAATAAGTACATACATAAAACACAACTGGAGGGATTTACATCACCTCTTAGCAATTGTTTTCTTGGAATTGAATGTTGGGAAATATTACCTTGTTTGTCATATATTTCTGTACCCATCAATTTTTAAATATACATGTATTACTTCCATGATCAGGAAACAATAAAGATAAATATATTCACTGTTTTTCCTAAAGAACTCATGAACTTTCCGTGCTATCACCCTCTTTCTCTCCTGCTTCACAGCCAAACTTATTTAAAGAATATTCTATGCTCCTTTTCAGCCCATTTCTTCCACAAACCAGTGAAGTCTGCTTTCCCTTCCCAATTTCCCTTATCTTATGGTGAGAACAACAACAACAAAAGAATATCTCACCTCTTTTATTTTTGATATAAAATCAAATGAACACTTTCAGGCTCTATCTTACTCTCTTCTCCCTTGATCCACTACATTCTATCCATTTATTTTTGCCTCTGTCTTCTTTCTTGACTCCTTTTCTGCTTTTTGGGAATAGTGAAAGTACATGTTGCTTATTCAATACACATTCTCACTTTTTGTTTTCATATCTACTTTGTCTCATAGTAGATAACCATTCCAGCTCTCTTATGGTTGCCATTTATGGTATATGTTTTCCATCCTTTTACTCTCAACCTATGCTTATCTTGGAAGCTAAACTGCTTCCTGTAGACAACACATAGCTGGGTCATGTTTTTTTGTTTGTTTGTTTTGTTTTGTTTTTAAGATTTTATTTATTTTTTCCCCCCAAAGCCCCAGTAAATAGTTGTGTGTCATAGGTGCACATCCTTCTAGTTGCTGTATGTGGGACTCAGCCTCAGCATGGCCAGAGAAGTGGTGCCTCGGTGTGCGCCCGGGATCCGAACCCAGGCCGCCAGCAGCAGAGTGCACGCACTTAATCACTAAGCCACGGGGCCGGCCCTGGGTCATGTTTTTTAAAATCCAATCTGATACTCTATCTTTCGAATGTCTTGTTTAAGCCATTCACTTTTAATGTTATTATGATGTTTGGATTTATACCTGCCATTTTGCATCTTGTATTCTGTATGTCTCATCTCTTTTTTTATTCTTCTGTTTCTCCTTTACTGCCTCCTTTAATTTTAAGTGGATATTTTCTAGTGTAATACTTTAATTCTTTTAATAATTTTTAATGATATTTTTGAAACATTTTCTTAGTGGTTGCTCCAGGGCTCATGATATACATCTTAACTTATTACAGTCTACTTCATATTTATACTAACTAAATATCCGTGAAATAAAGACACTTTAGTCCTATATAGGTCCACCCCCCCCTTTTTTGTGTTATTATTGTTGCTTATTCAATATACTATGTCTTTGTATGTTAAAGAACAAGCAATCCATTGTTACAATCTTATTTTATATTCTTATAAATATTCTTATGTTTTTTAAAGAAGCTGAGAGAAAAAAGTATATATTTAAAGTTTGTTATATTAACTTTTTTATTTACCATTTCTGTTTCTCTTCATTTCTTCATTTGAATTATCATTTGATGTCATTTCCTTACTCCAATACAGCTTTACTCTCACCTGCCTCCTATGTGCTATTATTGTCAAATATATAAAATGTGTAATACATTATAAATATATAAATTTAATAAATATATTAAATATATTTATAAAATATTATATTTATAAGCTATAAATTTTTATGTAATTGCTTTTAAAATCAATTAAGAGAAGAAATGAGAAAAATATGCAATTATACTGTCCTTTATAATTGCCTACTTAGTACCAGTTACCTATACTGGTACTCTGTGTTTTCTTGTGGCTTTGAATTAGTATCCTATCACTTGCTTTCAGCCGGGAGAACTTTAGTATTTTCCATAAGGCAGGCTTGCTAGCAACAAATTTTCTCAGCTTTTGTTTATCTGGGAATGTCTTTATTTGGCCTTCATTATTGAAAGATAGTTTTGCTGGCTATAAGATTCTTGGTTGACTGTTTCTTACTTTGAACACTTTGAATATGTCATCCCACTACCTTCTGGTCTCCGTTACTTCTGATAAGAAGTCAGCTGTTAATCTTATTGAAGTTTCCTTGTGTGTGATGAGTTTTTCCCTTACTGCTTCAAGATTTTCTCTTTATTTTTGGCTTTCAACATTTTTACCACATTGCACATGGGTGTAGTTCTCTTTGCATTTATCCTACTTGGACTTTCTTGGATGTGTAGATAATGGTTTCCAACAAACCTGAAGAGTTTTCAGCCATTATTTCTTCTAATATTTTTTACTTCCTTGTTCTCTCCTCTCCCTCTAGAGCTCTCATTATGTGTATAATGGTGTGTTTAAAGGTACCCCACATTTCTCTGAGGTTCTGTTCATTTTTCTTTATCCTTTTCTCTCTCTGTTCTTTATATTGCAAAATCTCTATTAATCTATCTTCAAGTTCATTGATTCTTTCTTCTGCTAGTTCAGATTTACTGTTGAGCACCTCTATGAATTTTTCATTTTGATTATCATACTTTTAAACTCCAGAATTTCCATTTGATCCTTTTAAATAATTTATACCTTTTTAATAATATTCTCTATTTGATGAGACATTGTCATCATATGGTCCTTTAAGTCTTAGACATGGTTATCATTAGTTTTTTGAACATATTTATAATGGCTGCTTTGAAGTCTTGTTAAGTCTAATATCTGGGCCCTTCCATGAGCAACTTCCATTGCCTTCTTTTTTTTCCTGAGTATGGTCACACTTTCCTGCTTCTTTGAATGTTTTGTAATGTTTTATTGAAAAATGGGTATTTTTAGATAATGTATGTGGCAAGTCTAGATACTGATTCCACCCCCAGCTATCTCTTAGTTTTAAATCCTATAAATATTTTGCCAAATAATTCAAATAGTAAATACTAATGACTAACCCAGTTTATAAATTTTAAAAATCATCTCATTTACTGTTGTGTTCTTAGACACAGCACAGTGTCAAACACATAGCAGGAACTCAATAATATTTGTGAATAAATGAACTCTATGCACTGGACAAAAGGTAGGCAAGAGTCTGGTGTGGCTTGTGGTGGCAAGCAGGACCAGAAGACCTAAGTGGGATCGCCAAGAAGATAACTAACTGGTTTCCTTTCTGTGGCCCTTGCCCCATTACATGTTCTCAACACAACAGCCACTTGCAACTACGTCACATCTATCACCCTTCTGCTCAAAGTCCTCCAATGGCTTCCCATCACACTCAAAATGAAAGTCTTCCATTGTCTCCCTGCTTTATATTTTACTACTCCCTTCCCGCCTTGCTCTGCTTCAGCCACACTGGCCTCCTCCTAAGTTTCTTTTACTTTGCTCACTTTTTTGTTAGACTTTTTCTGCCTAGAGTGTTCTTCCCTACAAAATTCACATGATTCTTTCTCTCACTTACCTCCAATATTGATTAAAACGTCACTCTATCTGCAATATTTCTGATCTTCTTACTTTGTTTTTCTCTTAAGCATTTATCACTATCTAATATACTATATAATTTATTTTTTTACCCTGCTTATTATCTTTTTCCCTCACTACAATATGAATTCTGTGAGGGCAAGTTTTGCCTCTTTTGTTCCTGCTATATCCCTTGTTCATAGAAAACTATCTGGCACATAGTCAACACTCCAAAATTGTGTGTTAAATGTACAGATGAATAAACATGGCAGTATGAGCGTTTAATAACTAATACTTCATTCACTCAACTAGTATTTACTGAGTACCAGCTATACGTCAGGAACGCTTCTAGGCACTCAAGACACACTAAGAAACCCAGACAGAAGTCCCTGTCCTCATGTAGCTATAGTGAACTAAACAGAATATATAATTTTTGATGTTTAAATATATCATGAAGAAACTGAAGACAGGATAAAGGGGTAAAAAATACGGGAAGATAAACACTAGTGACAAAGAGAGAGAATTAGTTCAGGGAAGACCTCTCCAGAGAGGTGACATTTGATGATGATGATGATGATGATGATGATAATGATGGAGATGGTAATGATATGATGACAAAGATGAGGAAGACAATGATAAAAGAGGTGGCCAAAGGTTAAGCAGAAAGTTGCTCTGCACTAAATGCAGCTTTGTAACATTTCCACTGCATAGTGCTGATTCCCCAGAACAAGTTGTCTCTTGTATCTAATTTGCAAAATGCTTGAATGAAAGATTGTGTAAAAATGTGAGACTAGCACCATTAGTACTGTTCCTGGTTCTGTTACATTTTGTTCTTTCCCAAATTGCTTGTTTACTCTCTTAAAATAATATCATTAATACTTTCTAGGATGGATCACAATGTATTTTAAATAAGATCATAACCATTAGTATTTCTTACTGAGTAGAAAATTTCCTAATTTTCAAGGAAAGTAAACAATAAATTCTCATTTTAATGAGAACTTTGACCTAAAGCAAATTGGACAAGTCTAATCTCTCTTCAGCAATCAATTAAAGTTTCCAGCCAGAGACCAGCCAAAAAAGTTCCAAGTAATGATTTTCCTTGACATTAACATTATTATTTCTTCATTGGGTCTTGTTCCTACTCTCATCCCTACTCCCATCCCCCAAAAAAAGGCTTTTAATGGTGTGAGTCCTTTTCAATATAACCCTGACACTTCCAGGCTTAGAGCAGAGTATCTATCTGAAGTAAGCAATCCTCTTACTTCAAGAATAACATAATTTTCAGTTCTATTGTAAGTCATGTTATCCTCCAAGATAAAAAAAGGCCCTTGCAAATCTATTGAATTCTTCTTCCTAAATCCTTTTTACATCCAATAATTCTAATCATCTTTCTTCTCTTCATTTATACCCAAAATAGACCCAATGATAAGGATTTTTTCCAACTGATAATTCCTTTTCATAAGACTCAAAAATTCACGTTCATTTTAAAAGATATACTTTCTAGATCTATATCAATATTTTTTTAGAATTAAAGTTGTGGTGTTATCCTTCTGGATAATGAAAAAACTGTATACAGATCACTAATTTAGACTTTGTTGTGTGAGGCTATGGGCTAGGCACTGAACAATCACATGAAGAGCTTTTGTTTTCCATTTACTTTTGTATGTTTAGGTATCAGAAAATGACAATCACATGATCAAAAAATAAACAAACAGGATAAACCACAGGTGGCCTGAGATTACTTCGATGATTTTAGTGCAACATACATGAATCTGACAAATACTGCATAGCTAATGTGAAAGGAAATGTACGAGATGAAAATCATGTCCTTAAAATGCAAACTATAAAATACATCCCCATGTATTCCCTTTTGTTTACAAATAAGTATTGCAAGGTAATATTCTGAAATATTAATCTTTTTGCTCTCCTTTTCTGCACTTCCTTAAAAGTTACCTCTTTCATCTACAGTCAAAAGCATGCAACTGCCTGGAAAAGATGTTGGATTTTTATAGTGGATTGAAAAAAGGAAGAGTTAATGTTTATGTTTCAAATAAACTTATATGTTAAATCAGTGATTCCCCTACTCTTGAAAAGCCAAAAACCCTTGAAAATCTATGATCAGAAATACAATTTTTCTATCAGGTATCCATTGCCTTAATGGAAAGAGCACTATTAAACTAGTAATAGGATTTGCATAAGAAATAATTTTAATTTAGCATAATTTGTTTAAAAACAATGCTTCTTCACAAATAGAGGTTCTCACCCCTTTGGAAAGAAGTTGTTCTCACAGTATTTAATTTGCCCATTAAAAAAATATATTTGCCCATTTGAATGTTATTGATTTCTCTGTGACAGACTTCCCAAAATGAGCAGCATCCTGAACTATGTGTGCTGATGTTGGGATGGGAGTTCAGGGAGTAACTGGTGTGTGAGGGAGTTTATAGGCAAGAATGACCCTTCTTGACCAAAGAAAGTTCAAATTAATTAAGCGACACATTACAATCTCCACACAGGCAAAAGAGTTATTTTCTGCAAGAAGCTACTACTTATCCCATTAACAATCTAGGAAGGGATATAAGTTGGTGCCTCCTGGAGGCAGAAATGCCACTTTAAAGCATCCTTGATTTGCAATGATCATCATTAACCTCCTCAGCAGAAAGACGGGCCATGTAATAAGCTAGTAGCTTAGTAACTAGCCTATAGCCCATAACTTTGTTTTCTTTATCTTATCATATCTACAATTGACAGTTATGATGAAACCAATTTAAATTGTAGGCATTCAATGAAAGGTTTACCCAGAGACCCTGTTCCATTCTCTTTACCTTGTTATGGATTGAAGTGTGCCCCTGGAGAAGGTACATTAAAGTCCTAACTTCTAGTATCTGTGAATGTGAACTTGTTTGGTCTTTGCATATTTAATCAAGTTAAGATGAGGTCATTAGGGTGAGGCCTAATCCAGTAGGACTGGTGCCCTTATAAAAAGAGGGCCATGTGAAGAGACACAGAGAAGATGCCATGTGATGATGGAGGCAGAGTTTGGAGTGATGCATCTAAAAGCTAAGGAAGGCCACAGATGGTAGGCAACCACCAGAAGCTACCAAGAGGCATGGATCAGATTCTCCCTCAGGGTACTCGGAAGGGACAAACCCTGCTGGTACCTTGATTTTGGACTTCTAGCCTCTAGAACTATGAAATAATAAATTTCTGTTGTTTTAAGCCATACAGTTTATGGTACTTTGTTACGGCAGCCCTAGGAAACTAACACAGCCTTAGAAACCACATCACCACACACTCCATTTTCCCATCTTCTAATCCCAAGGAGCTCAGATGATAGCCAGAAACTTTTCTGACCGTATTGTAGTCAGTCTGTCGCTGTTTTCTCTGATTCACCCCTGGCTAACTTCAGATCATCACTAAAGGAGAAGGATACCATCTTGTCTCCTTGTTTCTGACTCTATGACACTTATTCTAGGCCATAACATGACACTTTCTGATCATTTCCCTTCTTTGAGGAAACAACGGTTTCCACGTGAAGTCTTATATCAATCTTTCATTACTTTATTCTTTTAGAAGGCAAGAATACCTTCAAAATGTGATTAGCAACTTCAAAAATTCTTGATGAGTCTATCATAAAAAACAAAGTCACCTGTGTCCAGAGGGAAAATGGTCCATTCGATTAACCTTTTACCTTTTAATCCTGCCCCTTCGCTTTGGTTTTCTATGGAACTTGGGGCAAATCATTTAATTTTTCTCTACTTCAGTTTAATAATATTGACTTATTTTATAGGACGTCCTGAAGATAAGTAATGATAAATTGAAAAACACTGGAAAACTATAAGGATAAATGTAAAGGTTAAAAAGAATGACCCATCTTGACCAGAGAAAGAAGATCAGGCCCTGATTAATTCACATTACTATCCAGCCATATACCATTCTCAAGGGATTCTGCTTGCAAAAGACAGGCTGTTCATTAAACTGGGGCGATGGAAAATCACCTTGCAAGGTAGGATTGATATATCTTCTGCTGATTTCAAATTATTCACATTTCAGTCACCGTATTAATGATAATAGCAGGATAAAGCAATGTTTCTGCTTCCATGCATTGCATATTCACATTACACTTTCCTGCAGTATTTCTTAGAGGAAGAACTGCCATAATTTATGATGGTCCTAAGTCATAATATATTACAGCTCCTAAAGCCATAGACAGACTCTATGTTTAGAGTAACTGAGATGTCTCCTATGTTTGAATTCTGTGAATATTATATCATTTGAGGAGGAAAACGTGTCATTATAATTCATTTCACATCCTAATTTACATGGCTTAAAATTGTTTACCTTCAAGAGTATACATATTGGACCATTGAGATCCTGCCCGGATAATGGAAGATATAAGTCATGTTCTTTAGTTATTTCATTTTACAAGAAGTTTGTTCACTGCTGTTCCATCCTGTGCCTTGGTTGAACACTGTTGCTTTATTGCATTTAATTTCTGAGATTAATTTTTATTTGCTACCTCATTTTATTTGCTAATTTATATAACTGTATTATTAGTAGATTTCTCTTTCAAGGAGTTGGGACCCAGGACATTGAGGAGATAATGGTGAATCTAGCTGGTGTCCCATCCTCCCAGTCATCAGAGGAGAGATGGCTGTAATGCTTACTCTCTGTAGTGTTAAGGAAGAACAGCACTGAGCCTGCTCCAATGGCAGGCATGAACGAACCTGTGGAACCCAGATGCCTGGTTGCTGGTTTGATCGAGGTTCCATGATTCCTGTTGGCTTAAAGGTGGTCTCTAGATTCCCATGCCCTTTTCTGGGCTGTCCCTTAGAGGCTGTAGTTTGTTAAGTACTACAGGAGATGTGTGACTTGTCCTCCTGTCCCCTACCTGTAGGAGATGAGTGAGTGCGGTTATCTGTTAGGACTCACAACATTTTCTGGAAGCAATCTGGCCATCCCAACCTTGGAGCCATGAGTACCTTGGAGCCACATCACATCATCTCCTACCTCAACCATTTCCTACCTGAGAAGGGGCTCACTGCGACACTCAGCTTTGCCATACTATTCCCTGAAAAATATACCCTTGTCTTTCTTATACTTGCTAAGCTTTGCTAACAGAGAATTTGAGACTTCTTTTGGATCTCTAATCAGTGTGAGGTTACAGTAAATAGAGCCAGAAGTCAAAATAGAGAGTGGTTGCACTGTCTCTTCAGTAATGCCCATCTATCCTACCTATTGCAACAGCTTTTGGGATGCAAACCCATAAGTGGAATCTCTTCTTTTCTTTAAATGCATGGTCAAAAATTTAAAATGAGAGATCCAACCACCACCAAGCATTCACTAGAGCAACTCCCCAAATTTAGCGCCCCTTAGAATTTCTACAGATGCCTGTTCAAAATGTAGAGTTCCTGACTTGACCCTGAAAATACTGACAGCCAGTGAATTTTACGCAAGCGGCGGTAGCTTGCCGCTGAGATGGCTGCCATGGGTTCCTTCCCTCCCTGCATGGGGATACCATTCTGCTAGCAAGAGGTGGAGTCTGTTCTTCTGCCTCTTTGAATCAGGCTGGCCTGTGGCTTTGACCAGTAGACTACAGAACAAGTTACACTGCGGGACTTGAGAGTTGGCAGCCTCCACCTAGTTGTCTTGAAATTCTCATTCTGGAAGAAGTTAGCTGTCACCAGATGTCCAACTACCCTGAGGCCACCATGCTGTAAGGAAGCCTGAGCCAGCCGCCACGGAGGGGCTGTATGGGAGAGACGCCTATCCAGCCTATCCAGTGCCAGTTATTTCAGCCATCCCAGTGCAGGGGCCAGATATGTGAGTGAAGTCTTCAAATAACTCCATCCTCATCACCATCAGACTCTGACTGCAAGAGAGATCACAAGTGAGATTCCCCCAGCTGAGCCCCATTAATTCCAAGAACCATAGAATATGATAATAAAATGAAAAATGTTTTTTAAGCCATCAGACTTTGGGAGTACGCAGCAGCAGGTAGATTCTCACGCAGGTCTCAATGTAGGACATTTTGACGAATACTGTTAGATTATCAGTCAAAGCATTTAATGTTTTCAAGCTGAGGATGACTTAAAACAGGGACACAAAAACTTTAGTCAGCCTCCTTTGCTCCATTGACCAGAGCACTTCTGG